TATCTCACCCACTCTCACACACATCTACACTCACACACACTCACACACACATCTACACTCACACACACTCACACACACACATACACACTCACTCACACACTCTCTACTCTCTCACTCACTCACTCGCACACACACGTCACCACATCTCATCGTGCAGGCGGTGGACACGGAAGGGCGCACAGCGTATCATTGCATGGCGAGCAACTGCACAGACCCGACGTGTCTGCAGGTCTTCCTCGACGTCTGCCCAAGTACAACTCGCGCAGTGGTGGTGGTGGTGGTGGTGGTGGCTGCTGTTGTTGCATATGGGTGAAGAAGCAAGGATCGATTCAGCAGCACAATGCAACTGCTGTTCAGCTTGATGCACGCGCCATCACAAACTACTATTGACTGCCGTCACCATCACGCATGTGTGCAAGCGCATGTGCCTATTCACACACACAACACACACACACACACACACACACACACACACACACACACACACACGCGACATGTGGCAGAGACGATGAATGTTGCCGATTCGCAAGGCCGCACTCCGTTGCACGTTGCTGTTGCGCAGGACAACACCGCAATGGTCGCTGCTTTTGTCAACACGCGCGTGTGCATCAAAGATCTGCCAGACAGTGATGGCATGACTCCGCTCTTCTGGTGCGTGTGTACGTCTTTGCAAATGTGTGAGGTTGTGTGTGTCCATATGTTCGTGTGCGTGTACACGCGTTGTGCATTCATGCGTGTGTGGGTGTGCAAGCTATGTGTACTTGTTTGTGTGCGATGGTTTTGTTTGTTGCTGCTGGTGCGTTTGCTTCTGTTGACGTGTCTCTCATGTTACCACCATTGTCTCCCATCACCATCAACATCAGGGCTGTGTCGCTCGCTCGCCCAGAGTGTGTGACGCTGCTGTTGCAAGCGGGTCCACAAGCAACGTGCGCGACAAAGAAGGGTGCGGTTGCATGCTGTGAGCACGATTTTGAAGTGTGTCACGGTGGATTGTGTGTCTGCATGTCTGCGCACGTGTGTGGTGTATGTGGGTGCGTGCATGCGTCTATGTGTGTGCTCGTACAGCTTTTGCTCTCAGTTTTGTGTGCTCGTACAGCTTTTGCTCTCAGTTACGTGTGCTGTTCATTACAACCTCACCCTTGTCCATGTGCACGAATGTGTCTTCGCCATGTACGTGTGCATATTGTGTTTTGTGTACGTGTGCATATTGTGTTTTGTGTACGTGTGCATATTGTGTGTGTGTGTGTGCAGAGGCAACGGTGTTCCACTATGCGTCCATTCTGGATTCGACGGCAACGCTTGATGCTTTGCTTAACTACACCCAGTTCACCGACACGGGTATGCGCATCAATGTACCCATGCAGGCTTGCCCATGCGTGTATATATGTTTGTGTGTGCGCGCGGGTGCACGTGGACGTATCGAGCTTGCAAGTTGCATCAATTCTTCTGTTCGAGGGCGCTCACACACATATATACATATACACGAAACAGCGGATGTGCACGGTCGCACGCCACTACACTGGTGTCTCTCCCAAGGTTTGTGCTCGTTGCGTGTTCTCGTGCTCGTCTCCTGCTACAGCTGTTGCTGTTGTTGGATTGTTGGATTGATGGGTCTGTAGCAAGCCATTTCTCGTCGCTGTGTCTCTCACTTCTTCTCACCATGCACACACACACACACACTCACATGCGCAACAGTGTCACCGTCGACGCCTGCGATGATTGAGCGATTGCTAAATGCGGGCTGCAATCCCAACAGCACAGACTCAAACGGAGCAACAGGTAAGCAAAGAGAGCTGGGAAGGCGCTTGCGTACGCATGCTTGCACCTGCTATTCTCGTCCTCCTATGTGCATGTTGCGTCCGCGTAAGTGTATGTGTGTGTGTGCGTGCGTGTGCGCGTGTGTATGCACAATGCATTTGTACCTCCATCCAAGCTCACACATGCACACGTGCCTCGATCGACTAGCGCTGCATCTTGCGGCATACGGCTCGCATCATGATGCAATGGCGGTCTTGATCCAGGTGAGTGCAACCGCCACCGTGTATTGGCAGACACATGACTGCAATGGGCCAGACAGGAGCAAGCGCTCACACGCACACACGCACACACGCACGCAGTTATACACTCGCTCACACACGCACGCACGCGTTCACATCACACGCATTCACGTCCATACACTCGCTCACACACACACATGGTCGTACCACATCGTTTTGCCTGCATGCAATCACGTCATCAGCACAAAGTTGATCTGAATGCGCAAGACGGCGGGGATCAGTTGACGCCGCTCATCGCGTGCTGCCAGAACGATGACGCTGCCGGTGCCATGCTCCTGCTTGAAGGTGTGCAGTGGCGCGCAGCACATGCACACGTGAACGTGCACCCATGTGTTCGTGGGCGTGTGTGTGTATGCTCGTGTGATTGTGTGATTGTGTGATTGTGTGATTGTGTGATTGTGTTTGCCGTATGTGCGTTTGCTTGTATTCGAGTGCTTACGTGCATGCTTGTCAAGCGCTGTACATATGCTGGTCAAGGCTTGTAATTGTGCTTGCTTGTGTTCGTGTCCTCGTGTCAATCGCTTCTTCGTTGTCATCCGTCGCCCCTTATCACGCTCTGCCCTTTCCTCATCTCACACTCCACCATCAACGCCAACAGCTGGGTGCGACCCGTCTCTCTCGGATGCTGGCGGCCGCACAGCGCTTCATCACGCAGGTCAGTTCCTAGTCGGCACACCCTCGTCTCTCCCTCCCTCTCCCTCCCTCCCTCTCTCTGTCTGTCTGTCTGTCTGACTGTCTGTCTGACTGTCTGTCTGACTGACTGTCTGTCTGTCTCTCTCTCTCTCTGTCTCTCTCTGTCTCTCTCTCTCTCTCTCTCTCTCTCTCTCTCTGTCTCTCTCTCTCTCTCTCTCTCTCTCTTACACTCTCACACTCCTAATTGCACGCAGCTATTGCCTGCTTTTGTTCATGCAAGCATTTTCGGCAACGTTCTCATTGACATTCATCAACTCACACACACACACACACACCCACGATCACACACACACACACACGCACACGCAATGTTCATCCCACGTGCGTCCTGTTCTCAACACCGCCCAACAGCGTCTGCCTCGGACGCGGCAACAGTGCTGACCATTCTCCCGTACGCAGCGAATCCGGCCCCGCTCGACGCAACACACGCGACGGTAGGTTGGGCACCAGCCCCGTTTGGCTTGAGCGCCCTCGTGGATGTCATGTCACATCACACACGTGGGCCGGTTGCTCGTTTACAGTCTCGCTCCCGCTTCAAACCGACTCACATACATACACAAACACACATTCATTCACACATTAACACACACACACATTGACACACACACACACACATTGACAAACACACACACACACACACACACACACACACACA